GAGCGCCGCCGGGTCCCCGGAGCCGGCCGCGTCCTTTGTGCGGCGCTGGGGTTGCGCCTCGGGGCCGCGGGACGGAATGTGGGCTCTGCCGGGGCTTTTCTTTTCTGCCCAAACTGTTGAAACAATGGACTGTAAGGGGAGCGGGGATTGAGGGGGGCGAGCGGGGAAGCGAGCTACACGGGGGAATCATGACTTCTGCCGCCGGTAAGTGACGGCGCTCGCGCTGCCGCTGGAAAGTTTGTAGCGAGCGCCTCGGGTCTTGGGCTCTGAGCAAGTTTGTCCTCCGGGATGGGTTAGCGATATTCCCTCTACCTTTCCTCAGAGCTGTGCGGAGGAGACGGTGTTTGCTGCCGGATTTTTTCGTCCCTTCGTGCCAAGAGGGGCTCTTTGGAAATAGTGTGTCTCTTGGGACCTCCTTTTAAAAGAAGACCGTGTTGGGGGCTCTTAGCGCCAGGTGAAACGGGAAATGTAAAGAGGGCGTTTACTTTTCTCTTCTAAAATTTGAGCGACTTTGCCTTTGCGTATGAAAATAGTTTAGATTCCCATGTTAAGAAATCAGTTATTCTAGGAAAGGGCAGTGTTCCCGGAGTGTTGAACTCGGCAACTAGGCTGAGTGGCTTTAACCCCTAATGTCGACTGGAAACCCTGACCCTTATTAAGTAAAGAGGTTTAGACATTTTTACTCCTGTTTTGGTGGTTTTCCCCCGGTTACCTGAGGAGCAGAGGAGTAGAATTGCCGATGCCAAGGTTTTGGTTCATCTTCAGACAATTTTTTATGGATTTTTTCCCCCCTATTTCTACCTGGTTAGTGTAGACAAAGCCTTATTTTTTGTCTGCCTCCTGTCGCCGTTTCCCTTTATCCAAATGGCAAAGCCTGTTGTATTACCTTTGTGTAGACTTTGAAGAATTCTGGACGTTGTATTTCTAAACATTCTGAAGGAACAGTTCCTATTTAACAAAATAATTACTAAAGTGGTGTTAAATTCACTTATAAGAACATAGGTTAATTTTTAAGCCAGAACTTAACAATGTATTCAGTATTAAGAAACATTTTTGCCCACGTTGTAATAAATAAACATTCATTAGACATTTTATAGTAAAATAGTGTAAAGCTTCACCACAGTTACTTCTAGAACCAGCATGTAAGTATCAGATTAAATTTTCTTAGCTTTTCTTGGCATTTATTTTAAATTCCTGCATCTTGTAACTGTCAAACAGCACTCTAAATATTCTGGTTTGTATTCTTTCTAAAGCCTAGATATATTGGAGGTTGTACGGCTAGGTGTAATCAGATTGCAACTAACGAGGCAAGAAGTTTAGCCAATAGGAATAAGAAAGCAAAGGATGAAGTGTTCCCATAATAGTATTCCTGAGGAAGATGTTGTGAATCTTTCCTTTTTGATGCTATATGTGTGTACAGGAGATATGTCATCATGTACTGGGAATTATGTTATTTATAAACTCTCTTTTCCTTACCAAAGGGAGGCTTTCTACTTACTTGAGGTGAATTATTTTCATCCTAAATTTCTGTGCCTCACTTTAAGTTTTATTAAGGAACAAGTCTAATTTAATTTCAATTTAAAGTGGTTGGAGATTTTAAAATCCTTCCAGACAACTTTAACTCTCCCCTCCAGTGTCAAACACATTTAAAATTCATACCTTATATGTATCAGTTTTCAGTTCCAGTCCTAACAGTTTATAGTGAACCCATACAGAAGCATTTAATTCTACATTTAAATATGTAAACCGGATCTAGGTCTCAGTCTGGAATTTTATTATTCTTTCATTTGAATGACCCTCGAATAATGCAAACTATTTTTATATTTAATCAACTTTATAATTAAAGAAGTCCATAGACATTTTTATGGTGTTTAAAAGAGGGGCACTTCCTGTGTTTAGCTGAGTTAGTTGGTTTTTAGCACGGCTTGCTGAGAAGCATTAACTACTTTTTTATTCGCCCATCTGTTAAGATTTATTATTTTTTCTCATGTCTAAATGGAGAATATGGAAAAGAACTGGGGTTTTATTTGCATCCTATTCTTATAAAATTATGTGTTCATCATTCTTACAAGCTGTTTGATGCTCTTTGGAACAGTATTCAGAATTCATTAAAACTTTAGGAATGTTATTTGAAGTTGGGGGAGGGGATGTTTGTTTACACGGGCTCTAATCTGTGGTATTTGGGATGGTTGGCTTAATTTAAGGCAATAAGAAAAATGTAGAACATCTAAGTTATATGTATCCTGAAGAAGAGCTTGCTTTGTTTTTCTGTGTCTGTGAAAGAGTAGGCCCACAATAGAGATTTTAGAATTATTCTAATCAGTAGATGAAAAAAGGAGAGATAATTATAGAAATATATTTCATATATTTTTGGTGTATATGTGCTGTGCTTTGCTTTTTGGCTGGTCCAATAGCTAAGAAAGTGTTGCACGTGGACCGCCACCATCTGTGTGTAACAGATGATGAGTGTGTTTGTAATTGTTAGTAAAATGGTACTAGTGCTTTACTTTCTTACCTTATTTTTCCCTGGAGCCAAACAGCTGTGTAAATAAAAGATTTGCTGCTATTCTCTAAAAAGCTTTGGGTCTGACTGTTGATACAGTATTAAGATCCAGAGGTGCTGGATCCATTTCCAAACATCGTGCACTTATTTCAAGAGTTTGACATTGGAGCAGACTGTAATATAAAGGCTTGTTATTTTTTGAGCTGTGTTTCTTTCAAAATAGAGCCACTAAAAAATAAATACATAATTTTAAAATAAAAAAAAATAATAATGAAGGACTTCAAATATTGCTATTCTATGACTTAGTTGAACACTTGTTGCTACTAATAATTAAGAACTTAGGGACTTCCCTGGTGGCACAGTGGTTAAGAATCCACCTGCCAATGCAGGGGACACTGGTTCAAGCCCTGGTCCGGGAAGATCCCACATGCTGTAGAACAACTAAGCCAGTGCGCCACAACTACTGAGCCTGCACTCTAGAGCCCACAAGCCACAACTCCTGAGTCCGCGTGCCACAATTACTGAAGCCCACGTGCCTAGAGCCCGTGCTCCACAACAAGAGAAGTCACCATAATGAGAGAAGCCCGCGCACCACTAAGAAGAGTAAGCCCCACTCGCCGCAACTAGAGAAAACCTGTGCGCAGCAACGGAGACCCAATGCAGCCATAAATAAATAAATAAATAAAATAAATTAAAAAAAAGAACCTATTCAGTAATCCTATTGAAGTTGATTCCTGTTAACTTTTCAAAATATTCTACATTTAAGTGGATATTGATTTCTTTTTAAAGAAATATCTTGTTATTGAGACATAGTAAAGACTATGCATATGTGGCAGCTCTGACTGTTCCCAGGCCCTGTGTTTAGCCTTGGGGATACAGCAAAGAGATAAAGTACCTGCCCTCCTGGAGCTTGCCTTCTAGTGGTGAAGACAGAGGGAGGTACACGGAAGAAAAATCACACAGGGCAAAGCGGCTAGAGAATCTAAGGGTTCTCCTGAAGCAGATATCTCCTGAAGTTATCATCTCAGAATCATTTAGGCTTTAGAGATCTGTTCAGCTCCCTCACTTGCAAGTAAGGAGACTGAGGCAACCAATTCTCCACAGAGGCACACCCAGTTATGTTATTGGCCTCCTCCAATACACAGTTAGCTAAGCCAAAGCTTGCAGTTCTTTGTTTAATTCAGTATGTGTTGAGGCAGTTAGGTACATAATGCTGCGCTATATCTGTTGGTAATCGACCATAATTCATATAGTTAATTGAATTTCTAGGACACTAAGAACAGATTTATGAAAAATGATTGAACTAAAATAGCAAAAATTGGTTGGGTAAATGACCCTGAAACTTCTGAAAAGGCTCTAAGATTCAGAAAGTAAAAGATTAATGAGACAGGGTTGTTTTGTTTGTTTGTTGTTTTTAGTTGTGGCGAAATACACCTAACATAAATTTACCATCTATACTATTTATTTTATTTTATTTTATTTATTTAGGCTGTGTTGGGTCTTCGTTTCTGTGGGACGGCTTTCTCAAGTTGGCTACTCTTCATTGCGGTGCGCGGGCCTCTCACTGTCGCGGCCTCTCTTGTTGCGGAGCACAGGCTCCAGACGCGCAGGCTCAGTAGTTGTGGCTCACGGGCCCAGTTGCTGCACGGCATGTAGGATCCTCCCAGACCAGGGCTTGAACCCGCGTCCTCTGCATTGGCAGGCGGACTCTCAACCATTGCGCCACCAGGGAAGCCCCCCCGCCCTT